AGATTATAGATAAATGGAAAAAATAATTAATTTCAAAAATATTGTACCGAGGACATTTAAACGAAAGAAGTAATTACTCATGATATTCACTCAGTTACGCATTAGATAGTTATTACTCAAGCTATTGCATATTCATAAGAACTAATAAGCGAAGAGGAGAGAATAGATAAATGAAGAAGATAATTAATTTCAAAAAATGTTGTACTGAGGACATTTTAATGAAAGAAGTAAGTATTCGTGATATTTATTCAGTCACGCATTAAATAGTTATTACTCACACTATTGCACTTTTTTAAAAACTAAAAAGCGAAGAAGACAAACCGTTGATAAATGAAGAAGATAATTAATTTCAAAAATATTTTGAGTACTGAAAAATACTCGTTCAGGTAAAAGGAAAGAAGAAATAGCTAATAATTACTTCAGTCTGATCGATGCATACTAAATGAGTGTGGATATAAAAGAAATTAATATTTGTTTATATCTTATGATCAAATAGTATTGAGCGTTAGTGGGTATGCCTTCTACTGCTTTAGTGTGAACAGTTATACTATAGAAACATAATATGATGAGGTTTTTGTTTTAAACCATGAAGAACAGCCAAAAATCTCTACGATGCCCAATTTAAATGAGTTGTTGCTCATTCATCATGAAATATATTTTGTAAATAAAGTCCAGTAATCAAAACTAGTCCTCTCACAAATATAGAACAAAAAGTATTTTTTCAAAATGGGCAAACAAGTATAATCATATATAGAATTGCAATTGGTAGTCTGATAAGAAAATCTTACAAGATTCATAAAATTAAATGTCGAATCTATTTTACAAACAACTCTTTTCGTATAATCAAAAGATTCGACAACGGAAAAGGGGGTATTGTATCGATGGCTATTCCAGAAAAACTTCATACGATTGAAGACTAATTCACAAAAAGCATTCGAAAGTATTAGTTTGTATAACTGAAGTATATTTTCGCCATGAATAACATAAATCCATAATTGATTACATCGTATATTTTAATGTTCTCAGTATCCTTAGGACATCTAACAGCCTATTATTTATTATCAGAATCAGAACCATCATAATTTCAGATTTGGGACACCAATTAATTTCATTATGTGCCATTGTCCCATATTGTTTCATATAGAAGTATCAATAAAAAGAGCTTGTTTTATTATTGAGTGTTGCATTTGATCATAATCTCATACCTCTATATTTTGTTATGTATTTGATTCATAATTTAACTAAGATTTCACTTAAGAAAATACTCAGTGATATTAGGAAAGTCAGCTTTTGGTACCAGAAGGGTTTTTTAATCAAGAGGAACGTTCAAAAATCAGAATTTTTGTAGCAGTCATGGGTGCATCGCAAAGGTGCACACCAAAAATATGACTAGTCAGCCATAAATTAGCACAAAAAAGATAGAATGAAAACGAATACAAGCAGAACGCAAAAGCAGAATAGAAAAAAACAAGAAAGAAAGAGATTGAAGAGTCTACAGTATATAAGCAGTGGATATCACTGATATTTTCGCATTCAACAAGAAAGAATCAAAATACAACGAGAGAAGGTAAATAGAATTTTTATCGCAAATTGAGTAGATATCTAATCCGAGTTCGAATATAAACTAACAGTTTTCATATCTATATCCATTACTATATATAAATATACATACATACTCCATTAAACTTAAATATAGTTAGGAATAAATTTAGTTTTGATGAATTATAATTATAATTAATATGTGTATATATGTAGACACATACATTGTCCAATATGTTAATAATAGATTTTTATTGTTTAGCTAGCTTCTTAGGACAAAATCTTTATTTAATTGTTTTATTTATTTCTGAATCGATATGAAATAGTTAGATATCAATTGATATATCAAGTTGAATAAAACAATTTATAAGTACATATCAATTTTAAATAGTTTTATGTCTTTTCTTCTGTGCTTTTGGTGATTTGCTTAAATTTAATTGTAGACTTTTGGTCTGTTTATTTCATTGATTTGATTTAGCAGCATTTGTTCTTATGTATTGTTCATCAGATGTAGTGGCTTTGGCTTATTTATATCTTTGTTTCTATGAACAAACTTTTAGATCCTTTTCTTTGATTTATTTACTTCCATACTGTGCTAGGGTTTATCAATACTATCCGTGGCGATGATTAGGGTCTATCAAAGTCTCCTCATGTTATAGATTATCGACAAAAGTTGATGGTAATGAAACTATAAGTGAAAATATTCGCACAGGTATGAAGAGAGATTCTGATAAGCCGTAAAAGAATTTAGATAGTTTATTGAATTGAAATATATCTTTTCTATCGTAAAAAGGATAGCACAACAATAAACCGTTGAGAAAGGATATATGAAAGCGTTCGGGTGATACATGTAGCAGTGCATAAAGCTTCCAAAAATGATTTAAGAGAGGATTCGAAATATACTCATCTATGAGTTATGAGTATCTCTTACACTATTTCCTAAACTTCTCTTTGGATATAGGAATATTTTTGATCTCTTTATTGGTTTTAGAATGAGAATTCTATTTTGTAACGTCTCTTCATTTTACAGAAAGTCTACAATCGTTAGAAAATCATGTGACATAAGTTTATCTTCTTTTATATCTATAAATGTTATAAATGTTGACTAGTTAAAAGATAAAATTAACATTTAGTGTTTATTTTAGATATGGGTAATTATCTTCCAAATTTTCGTGGTAATACTGACCATGGAACTAGAGAAACCAAGTATGAATCTATAACCATTACTCATTTTTTTTGCATACTCTTCATGTCTCATATTTAGACGGCGAGCAGGATGGTTACCAGTAGCAGGCATATGTATAGTGTTGACTGTACTAGTCCTAATTGCTGTTACGATAACTTGCTCATTGATCCCACTGTACTTGTCGAAGAAAGACATTACTATTGTGGATAATAATGGTAAAGAGATTAGTGTTTCTACTAATTGTTCCATTTCACCTACATATTTTTTAGTAACTACAAACATTAGCATGATATTTGCTACTGATCTCAGTAGTGTTGTTGGGGAAACAGTTAGTAATGATGATTCACTTTCCACTCAAGTACGTTTTTATTTTTTCTGATGTGATAGACAACATAAATATTTTTATTTTACAGTTTAACGCAAAAATGGGGTACACAAACGATGTGTTAAGTGTTAAATCGATTTCCTTACAGACCGGTAGCATTACAAGCACCAAGAGGAGAAAACGACAATTACGGCGATCAAGGTCAGCTAGTTTAAAATCTTTTTTGTTAAGTAAAAAAATGTTCATATTATTTATTTTTTTAGAGATGCATTATCTTGCAGTACAACTCAAGCAGGTTCTAGTCTGAGCCAAGGTAGCAATCTTAGAATTATAATTACCATTAATGAGTGCCCAAAAACAAAATGCAAGACTGCTTTTTGTTTTACACAATGTGTACCTACAATCAAGGCTGATATACAATCTAAACTTGGATCGACTTCATTTAGTATTGTAACAAACCGTAGGTCATATACAGTTTCATTCCAATTTTGCACATTTGATCAAGTTGTTTCAGGTAAAAGAAATACATCAAAATGAATATATCATAATAGTGATCATGCTAATTTAGAATATGAGAACCAAAAATTTTATCGTTTTTCATCTTATACTGTATTCTACTTCTTTCTCTCTAAACATTGTCTTTATGTAGTCGAATTGTTTTTCGAAGGAATCGTGAACATATCTAGATTGATTTGATTCAGTTAGAAAAACAGATCTGATCAAGGGTGTGGGTGTGGAGCAGGTTTTGGTGTAAATAACGCCAAACTACCACGCCGCAACCGTAGTCACACTACACCCACACCCTCAAACTATTATTAGCTGACGAATTAGACTGATTGTATAAAATCTTTTTCTAAAATCTGTAAGCTTTGTATTTCGATAAACAAAAATATAGATTTCGTGAGAGAAGAGGCGAAGGTGCTGTCTATAATAAAACTCGATTTTAAGTTTCTTTGAGAAGATTAATATGATTTTGGATGCATCCGTTCAAGCATGTGTACACATGTTACAACAAGAGTAATATTATTGTTACTAAAAGCTCTTTTACCAAATTCTCTGTAAAAATAGAACAGCTGGTTGATGGACTCCGTATTGAGCATATTTCCTGTCTATTTGGACTAAACAATCAACACGAAATATTAAAACATCTAGTAAAGTCATGTTTTACATTTCATGATACATATCTAACTTAAAGTATAGCTAAGAGCTGTCGATGACTCTAACAAACTGATTACATGACTCATATAAAAAATATGACTTCTAAAGATTCATTTTTTGAAAAACAAATTATTCATTTAGGTTTGAGTGCAACGCCATCGATGGTATCGAGCACATCATCTACAACTCCAATAAATATAACATCTACCCTAACAGTAACAATAATAACACCAGCATCAACCACCACACCAACTACTACAACAACAACATCAACAACAAGCACGACAACAACTACAACCGATA